CATTAAGATGGTGTAGTTCATGGAGGACAATATGAGAACATTAAGATTGTGTAGTTCATGGAGGACAATATGAGAACATTAAGATGGTGTAGTTCATGGAGGACAATATGAGACCATTAAGATGGTGTAGTTCATGGAGGACAATATGAGAACATTAAGATGGTGTAGTTTATGGAGGACAAATTGAGACCATTAAGATGGTGTAGTTCATGGAGGACAATATGAGAACATTAAGATGGTGTAGTTCATGGAGGACAATATGAGAACATTAAGATGGTGTAGTTCAGGGAGGACAATATGAGAACATTAAGATGGTGTAGTTCATGTAGACAATATGAGAACATTAAGATGATGTAGTTCATGGAGGACAAATTGAGACCATTAAGATGGTGTAGTTTATGGAGGACAAATTGAGACCATTAAGATGGTGTAGTTCATGGAGGACAAATTGAGACCATTAAGATGGTGTAGTTCATGGAGGACAATATGAGACCATTAAGATGGTGTAGTTTATGGAGGACAATATGAGAACATTGAGATGATGTAGTTTATGGAGGACAAATTGAGACCATTAAGATGGTGTAGTTTATGGAGGACAAATTGAGACCATTAAGATGGTGTAATTCATGGAGGACAAATTGAGACCATTAAGATGGTGTAGTTCATGGAGGACAATATGAGAACATTAAGATGGTGTAGTTCATGGAGGACAATATGAGAACATTACGATGATGTAGTTTATGGAGGACAATATGAGAACATTAAGATGGTGTAGTTCATGGAGGACAATATGAGAACATTGAGATGATGTAGTTTATGGAGGACAATATGAGACCATTAAGATGGTGTAGTTCATGGAGGACAATATGAGAACATTAAGATGATGTAGTTTATGGAGGACAATATGAGAACATTAAGATGATGTAGTTTATGGAGGACAAATTGAGACCATTAAGATGCTGTAGTTTATGGAGGACAAATAGAGACCATTAAGATGGTGTAGTTCATGGAGGACAAATTGAGACCATTAAGATGGTGTAGTTCATGGAGGACAATATGAGACCATTAAGATGGTGTAGTTTATGGAGGACAATATGAGAACATTGAGATGATGTAGTTTATGGAGGACAAATTGAGACCATTAAGATGGTGTAGTTCATGGAGGAAAAATTGAGACCATTAAGATGGTGTAGTTCATGGAGGACACTATGAGCACATTAAGATGGTGTAGTTTATGGAGGACAAATCGTGACCATTAAGATGGTGTAGTTCATGGAGGTCAAATTGAGACCATTAAGATGGTGTAGTTCATGGAGGACAATATGAGAACATTAAGATGGTGTAGTTCATGGAGGACAATATGAGAACATTAAGATGGTGTAGTTCATGGAGGACAATATGAGACCATTAAGATGGTGTAGTTTATGGAGGACAAATTGAGACCATTAAGATGGTGTAGTTCATGGAGGACAATATGAGAACATTAAGATTGTGTAGTTCATGGAGGACAATATGAGAACATTAAGATGGTGTAGTTCATGGAGGACAATATGAGACCATTAAGATGGTGTAGTTTATGGAGGACAATATGAGAACATTAAGATGGTGTAGTTCATTGAGGACAATATGAGAACATTGAGATTGTGTAGTTCATGGAGGACAATATGAGAACATTAAGATGGTGTAGTTCATGGAGGACAATATGAGAACATTAAGATGGTGTAGTTCATGGGGGACAATATGAGACCATTAAGATGGTGTAGTTTATGGAGGACAATATGAGAACATTAAGATGGTGTAGTTCATGGAGGACAAATGAGAACATTAAGATGGTGTAGTTCATGGAGGACAATATGAGAACATTAAGATGGTGTAGTTCATGGAGGACAATATGAGAACATTAAGATGGTGTAGTTCATGGAGGACAAATTGAGAACATTAAGATGGTGTAGTTTATGGAGGACAATA